ACCAAGACATTTTCAATCTACTCCAATTAACTTGTCTCACTAATATTACGTAATCCTTCGATTGTTTATCAACGTTTTCACCCTTTTTAATCTATATGCACCTTATAAACTACTTAAAAATCTTGCGTAACCCTCTCTGTTATCATTCGGCCTTTACGTCATCGACCAGCAGCATTATAATTATAATCACCACTATTATTATTATTATTATTGTTTGTATTATACCGTCGTTGTTTGGACCGAATTGATCGGTCTCTGTTGGTATATGGGCTCCTGTGCGGATGCCTCGATATGCCTGTGTTTTAATTATATATAGTAATGATGGATAGTGGCTAGCGATCACTTCAAACGCCAGAGCGTTATCCACCAGACCACCGAGCCACTATAGCTACTTCTTGTGGGACGGGTATAGTTTTAGTTTAAGCGATCGCTCCCGAGTCCTGATGGGAACAACACTCACTGGGAGGCAGGTACATCCAGCTGACGGGGCCCAAATAGAACGAAATGCGCATCCTGGATTCCATTGCTAGCTGCTATCCATCATCACAATTATTATTGTTTCAATCCCTCATTATTTGAGTTAAATCTTCCTCACAGATTACAGTCTTCAAATATCATATAAATATGAATGTACAGTTTGAGAATGAATTCGTTGAAAAGCGTCCTCTTCGCTGAATATCTTGTTTTTGATGCCACAATGGGAATTGTGAACTTATTCAAAAAGAAATATTCACCTTTAATAAAGTTAATCATAATTGAGTTATTATTTCTAGAAAACCTCAAAATGGAGATACCTCATCGTTAGTAGGACTATCTGCTTAAGAGGTCAAACTTAAGCGGTGAACTCCTTTTGGTTTACGTATGAAATACTATAAATGCTAACAAGAAAGTAGAATTAAACTTGATTTGTCGGCATGATGTTTTGTAACTCGGCTTATCCTTTGTCGAGAGTATTTTTATGATAATATATGCTTGAACCTCTTTCAATTACACTGTCACTTAATAACTAAAAGCTTTACATGGATTTCATATGAGTTTAAATCCTATAAAACTAACTTTGCAGGAGCAGAATTATTGTATAAGCTTGAGAGAAGAAGATCAACTGTATTTACATTGATAGCCGTTAAAGGTAACGGTCACAGTGTTTGTTGGCTAGTAGACAAGGTTAGAATATTAACTGATTGCATTAATTAATGCAGTCACATATGCTGATCACTATAGGACAGATGAGTAAAACAGAAAAATATCAAAACTAAAAAGACGTAATACAGTCACTGTGTTACAATTCAAAATCAATGGGAATGACGAAAGATTAATAATCGGTAAAGAACTATACTTGTTTAGAAATTTTGTAGCAAATATCGGGAAAATTTTATATCAGCGTAATTTTGAATGAAAAAAAATGTAATGGAAAAGGCGTACTTCATTTTGTATATACCATCAAGTTCTATTGTTGAACAGTGATGTCGAACCAGGGATTTTTAGAAAACATAACCTACTAGTTACTAATAAATGGTTATGTAGAATTACAGTGGTTTAAATCTTCATCTAGAATTGAGTCTTTTGTCCTCCTTTTCGGTTCTCATTGATTGATAAAATCAGTTACAAGTCGTTATTAAAACCGAAAACTGATATTTATGCCAGCCCTCTTGTTTAATAAGAACAGTCTGTATTGAGTTTCAGAAAAGCCCCAGTTTGGTTACAAGTAGGAAAAAGAGGTCATTTAAAAAAGGAACTTGTTGTTCAAGATATTATGCTACTTATAACGACTAAAGATTGCGTGCTGTCTTTCTTTAGAACAACTAAAATTAGTTACAGTGATCACTTTGTTTTCATGATCTTAAGATATTAATCTGACATGTCAAAATTTACTCTCTGAAAGCTTCACGTAAGGGGGAAATAATATTCTGATGTATCAACTGCTCACTTCATACAATTGAAAACCGATAAAATCTGACTACAAACAATTCACTGTTTCGAGAGAATTCACCTTGAAGAGTAGCATGCCAATTGGTATGAATAAGATCATTTTCTTAGAACGAGGCTGTTATTTTCATTTACCCCTTTCATACAACATTTATTTGAATGTTCTTACACTTTTGAATTATAAATCATAAAAAAGACCGAAGAGATGGTTGCAGGTAAGAAAACGTTTTCTTTTCGACGGAATCATTCACCAAGCTGTACATTCATGAATGTATATAACTAAGGGTAGAACACACCAAAACTACTTCCGGTTAGGGGCTAAAATATATAGAATAACGAAAGAAATAAGGGTATACAGAAGGAAGATAAAACTAATTACATAATACAGGATTTTTTCTTGAACGGTCGAGGTTTTATGATGGCCATGGCAAAGACAAATATTGAATACAGCACTGGTTTGAACTTCGGGATGACTAATGCTTCAGCATTACTGAAATTCCTTGTTCTTACTTCCTTTGAGTGGCTTGATCGAACCCCAAAAGCAGCTGAGTGGCAATAATTTATAAGGTGTTCTGTTATTCAACTGAAGATGCATTCCCGTTCTCCCTTTATTAGCCAGGACGGATAATGTTCTCAAACGGGAGCACGGTGCGACCGACGTACTCAGCTCCATAGGAGCAAGTAAACTGGTATATGCATAATGATGTAACCCAATGATTCAGCTTGTCTTTCACACACTGAACAAAGGTCTCCTGCAGGAAAAAATGGTTCGAAAGCCGATGGCGAAGTAAGTTCGTTTGAGGATGTCTGCTCAATGTCATTTTTTGAATTCAAGGTTCGACAGAATAAACTTTTTTGACACCAAACGTGTTTCATTAGGTTGTGTTATTCGGCATTAGGTTCTTATCTATAAATATAGGAGGAAACTATTTTCTACTAGAGTTCTTCGAAGATTTCGCAGTTCTTCGTCAACAATGTCTGATGTACATATTTTCCTAATCCTCGAGGATAGTGAAAGCATTCTCCATATGACAAACCGTCTTGCCATTCTGACTTTGGAAAAATTCCAGACATTTATTCGTTAAAAATTTGACGACCATATCGTACACAATATACGACTTAGGCTTCATAAATATCTCAGTAAATTAATAGGTCTCCTTGTTCAATTGATAAATAGATAAAATAAATCCTGATATTCAGTTGCTCCAAACCGAAATTTCCTCCATTAACATAATGCTACAAATTATCAGCTGGGTTTATGTTTATTTACATTTACTAGTTGACTGTAGTTCGAGGTAAAATACAGTATTTCATCCAGCGCCTATTTTGCTTACATGGCGAGTATGTGCCACCACGAAATAAGTTGCTACCTAAACAACAATATATTACACCTTTATTATCCAGCATACAACTAACAAGGGTAGATTGTCCGATAAAACACCTATCCTCTGCAGCTTCACTCAGTATTTAGTTATTCAAGTCTGGAGGCAGAAAACTTAGCCTACATAAGCTGCTCATTCGCATTCAGCATGAATTTTGTTTGAATGCATTAGACTAGTCAGAGTATTCATTCTACAACCCAGATATTTCTTATTTTGAATGGAAAAGTCGGAAAATATACAATTGGGATAGTACTTGGACCAGAAAAGCCAAATGTAACATTTCAGACTTCTTGTATTAGATATGCCGGTCAAATGATATAGACACCGAGGTAGAATCAGAAAACTATATCAGGCCTCAACCATTTGACTGCTGACTTTGCAATGCTCACTCAAAAGTGAGTGAGTTATCTACTCAGTTTGATGGGGGAAAAAAAAATAGAAATTCTTGTTTTGAGTGAAATAATAAAGATACTCTAAAGGCCAGTCTAGCAACTGCTGAATGACCAGTCAGGTCTAGCTTTTTCCACTGGGATGGGAACGTTTTATGAAATGAAGAAGCCTGCCTTATTGGTCATATCAGTCGGTGCTAGATTGGCCTTTAGATCCACTCAGACAATACTATTTTGGGAGAGAATCAGACTTTTGCGATGAAAAAGAGAAATTTGTAAAAGTCACCAGAGTTACGACCATCGTACTTATTGAAAGTTAGCAGTTGGAATTCAAAAAAATCAGGGTTACCCACAAGAACCTACAAATCAGATTAAAAATGTCAGGATTTAGCTCTTAAGGTTACGCCGATTAGGAGTTAAATCACAGAGCAGCCCCGGTACTGAAAAGAGAACATAGTACTTGGCTTTCTACTGCTTTACGTCTCAAAAGGAACTTTTGATCTATATAAATCCAATGTTAGAGTCTAGAAGGTTAGAGTTAGGGTGAACAACTTTGATAAACAATGAGTTTTAAATTTTCTATTCCTGATTAGTTCGAATTCAGGAATAAAATGTGAACATAAAATTTTACGGAGTTGACAATTAGGCCAAAACTACCTTATGAAACTTGAAATGTACACTCAAATACCACAAGCTACTTATCTTTTCGTTTGATAGTAAGACAGGCAGCCACTCAAGAGGTCTCGCAGACTCGATACTACTTTTTAATTCTACTAATGCTGACATTTCGAGATACAACATAAATTAACAGAAGAAATTTACGTAAAAGTGGTAAGGTCTCATTATTGCACTTTGAAGACTAAGCTGTAGAATATAAAGGTAACAAGTTTCAGTAGCACATACACAGTGACACCATCAGGTGGTTTATTTCCACAGATAAATTTATAAATGATTTATTTGCAGTGTACCTTCAACAGTTTAGCTACTAAACCCTTGACAAGTCTTTTTATTATTCTACCTGGATAAAAGCCAGAAGATACGAACAAAAATCTAGTGTTCATGTATTATTAGCGCTTGAAGAGGCGTGATGCACCAATCCTGCTATTCCACAACGAACACATACAAAACAAAAGGTTAGTAAAGAATTTCTGTTATTGAACGATACTACCTATTGTTATTAAGTAACATACGTTAATCTAAAATAAGCTTTTGTAGAAGACATCACCCTTTTACGTTACTGTTTAGTTTTTAAAATTATGAATAATTCAGTTAAGACAGACAAATCCCATCGTACAATACTACCAAATTAAAACAAAATGAAAACTACGGAGGAACTCTTTTAAATAACTATATTTCAGAATACATCACCACATTTACAGTATTCTCCACAAATAATTAGTCACAAACTGAGAAAACATCAACCAAAAAGAATGTCAGATGATCAACACATGAAAAAATAACAGTAATTACTTATTCTAGAACTTTCTGTTGATTACAGCCTCAAAAGAGGTGCATGTGCTTTCATAAATTTGAAAACGAAATTTTAAGTGAAATGGAAAGTTATTTAGATGCAGGATAAACAAAACTAGTTAGAAGATGATGAAACTCTTGAAACCGTGCATGAAGTCTGAATAATTATAGAACGATTGGATGAATATTCAGTAGGTAGTGACTTAAATTGCACAGAGGACGGAAGCAGAGCTCTTCGTTATCCAATTCATATACTACAGCATCTTCATACCAATCAGTATACCTTTGTCAATTTTATATATGTATAGGGTTGTAAGCAGCTGAAGTTGGTAATTAAAATAAATGAACTCATTACTTCGCCACACATGCACTGCTCTTCTTCTTTATTCAAGTCTTCAAATACGAAGAAAGTAGTAAAATATCTGTACAATTTTAGTTTGTATTGATTACTGAGAATCTTCTGAAAGATTTAGGAAAAACTTTGAGGAAAACTTTGTTGAACGCCTCTTCGATAACAGTTTTCAAGAGTCAAAATTTAAGTGCCGAAACTATCGATGAGTTCGAATGGCTATCTTATTTTCTGTGACAGCTACATCAAAAAATCACAAGTCTACTAAACGTCTTAAAACCATATGATACAAAGTGGGAGATTTTGTACCAAGATAAGAAGTATCAGCTGCAGTCTGTATGATCAGCTGCGAAAAAATGCAACAGTTACCACACTGGATAATCTGGTTACATAACGCATTTATGGATATCTTATGGCAATAAAGCGTGGAATCACTAGTTCCACATCACAGCAACCAGTATACAACTTTGATTTACTGGATAAATGTACATCAAAAGTAACAAAGGAATCCTGAAAGCGTAAAATTAAACAAGTGCGCAAATTAAAAGGTATGCATGTTTGGAAGCTGTTAATAAACATAAAGTGATCGTCCAGATTCAATGGTCGTTAAAAGAAACAATGAATCCCACTAAAAATCAATTAGTATTTGTAGAGTAACCTTACACCATAGAACAATATGACATAAATCGATACTCCCAGTGTTTTGGTAGTAAAAGATCGAGAAATCTCTGGCGACACCCTCACTGGTAAACCAATTAAGATGAACCGAGCTAGTTCTTAAACATACAATCAAAATGGGAAGATCACTGAAAATAAATCGACAATGTCAACAAAGATCGACAGTCAGCTGAAGGAATGCATGTATACTGTCAAAAGAACTCACACTGTCATAAATAATAATCAAAATGATATCAATCGAATCAGTGACAAAATCATCATCATCATTGTCAACATAGGACCAGGCATTACTGCGTAACGGTCCGAGTTGCCACACCTCACGTCAGTTCATCAAGTAAAAAGGTAGTGAGGCGAAGGATGAAGATAAGTGGATGCAGTCAAAAGAAATATAAAGTACGAGAAGAAAGAAAAGAGGAGTGACAAAAATGGTGAGATTCGGTATAGCGTTGTTAAGATGAAGATAATGTGCGTATACATCTGCGACACTCACATCGGTTCTCAGCCATATCACCTAGGGTCTCCAACCACTGGTTCCTCTTGTTCACCGGACCTCAACCGCATAGTCTGCATCGTCCTACATGGCTCAAACCAACAGTCAGAGACTTCATACATTGGTGCCATGTTTTAGTCTGGCCATCTCGAGCCTTTTTCCAACATGGACCCACCTCAGCCAACATTGTGTGATGGGACAGTCGGTGACTAGGCATACGTAGTACGTGTCCCAACCAGCCATCTCAGTCGATGAAGGTTCACAACCTCGTCAACTGACTTACCTCTTCTCCCTAACACTGCACCTAACTTCTGCATTACTCACGTAGTGACACCACGGAATGCAGTCTATACTACGAAGGCAAAGGTGGTCAAACACCTCAAGCCTTTTTATATCTTCCACTTTCAATGGCCATGTTTCACAGCCATACAGTAGAATAGACCGAACTGCTGTGCAGTACACGCGACCCTTAATAGACAAACGAATATCACGGCGGCGCAAATTGGCAAAAGTCAATCGAGCCTTTTGTATCCGTGCAGAAATCTCATCGGCAACTAACCCACCGGGGTTGATCCTACTTCCCAGGTAGGTGAAGTGGTCAACACACTCAACCACTTCACTCTCTATTGTTAGCCGCGGTACTGCTGAAGACCAGTCCTGGAGCAAAAATTTGCATTTGGGTGGTGAAAATCGCATCCCAAACATTCTCAAATTCCCACTCAAGTGTTCAGAAGACTCTGCATCTTGTCAGCGTCTTCACCTAACAGGACTATGTCATCTGCATATTCTAGATCTAGTGCGTGTATGAAAAGAAAATGAACTAGCGCAAGTATAACGATCCGAAGTTAATCAAACCAGATTTCCACTGAAAAAACAATCAACCAACCAACAACTCCCCTCATTAACCAAACTATCAGTAATTATCGCGGCAAACAATCATGAATTATAATAAGTTAACTGCGCAAACTAGTTAAGGGGAAATGAAGACACTTAAACTGATGTCGAAAGCTGTCTAGAAAATAAATAAAGCTGGGGAGCAAGAAAGCTAACGAAACATTCAGCAAATTAGCTCAAGTATACAATCAGCACCTTGTTTTATGAAAACGTCAATCCTGGGAAGCCTCATATAATTTTAGCCACATTCAATGTGGTAAATCGAAAAGTAAGAGTTATCGTCTATGTTGTCAATTACAACTAGGCAAACTCAGTAGTATGATGTCCGTTCATAACACGTTGTCAAAACAGAAAACTAATTGTTGTTACTATGATTACGGAATTGTTATTAGTGTAAATGCTATTCAAGGCAAGACGATAAGAAAATAGATAACGATAAAATCAGTAAAAAAATAAAGACGCATTGATATGAAAAAACAAGCATTCTAAACATCCTTCAGCAACAAAAGATGAGGTAAAAACAAGATAGAATGACAGTTATGTAATCAACCTTCTGGTGTTGAGTTTGTCCTCGGCACTATTTGTTCACATACGCAGTAAAATGTTGATAAAAACCTTATTTTCATCTTTTAAATACACTGGAGCTAAAGTGAAATCATTCTTTAAATGATTCAAACAGACTCGGTGCTCAAATGTTTTTCAGACATTTTTGGTACGTGTGAACTGGAAAAAACTAACCTTTGAAAGATATGTTATTTTGTTTTCTGTCTACTGACCATAGAAATATATTACTTGACAGTATCATCACTCTCCCCAGGTACAGCGAAATGTTTGTGATAGCTATTCGTTGAAGTAGTTTAGCCGGTAGAATGAGTGGATCAGTTAATTCACATTTGCCAGTAAATAGTTTTTGAAAGGTCTAAGACATTTGAGCAGTAGAAACTAAACAGTTCAGTCCATTAATAAAAATACTTATAAGACTATGAAAAGTAGTACTGACAAAAGATTGTCATTGTAAATCAGCAAATTAGTAAACAATGCTCTGACACATGAAGTATTAAGTGCTGTGTTAAGAGCCTACTGAAAATATCAGTAAGTTGACAGGCCCCCAAAATGACGAAGTGATGCCTAAATTCTATTGTCAGAGTTCATCCGATAATATTGTGAATCACATTCGAATTTTTAAAATAAGCCACTAGGTAAGAAACAGTGTGTTATTATAATTTTTTCTGTTAATACACACGGTAAATATGACAAGTAAGACAAATTACTTCAGAACCATTGTATTTTCGATACTGTGCATCCAAAAAGTCATTCCCTTTAACAACACACAAGTCCTTCTGAATAACAATAACCTTCCTCATCTATGTGATTACTCGCTTATACGGCTACCAATATTATACCTCGAAAGTTCTCTCAATTTCCTTCAACAACATTGCTAACGATTTGTCTTAGTTGCGTTCTTCAGGCGCCATGCTCTAAACTATACATTGACACCTATAAATGTTGAAAACTATGTCTAATCGTGGTAGTATTAGCTGAAACTTCGGCATCTAAGATGGATGTGAACGTAATTCATATTTTACTCGTCTTACATAGGTTTGGGGGGGGGGGGGGGGAAACTAGATGATTAGCTCCTAATGATATGTGATGGCACGGTGAAAGTAATGGCCACCTGCCTACCCTTAGATTGAGTGGATAAATAAGATGGTGATATACACAACTGTCACTGCGTAATCGAGACAACGCCATAATAAAGAATGGCTGCAGTTCAGATAATTTAAAGGGTGATTTCTACCGAAGGTTGTCAGTTTTCCTACAAGAGGCTAAAATTCAGACATAGTCTTAAAATCTAATGACTTTAATGAGCAATTAAGTTGACTGAGATGCTAAAAACGTTTTGCGGGCATTTTCGGAATCTCACGTCAATGAATAGTTAAAGCTGGTCACCTACTTCTCAAATATGTGACCCGTTCGCATCCAGTACTAACTGCTGAGATGAGAAACATGGTCTTACTTAGTGGCCGTCGATAGTAAGTTAATGATTGACACAGATTTACTCTATCGTGACCAACTAGTACTGGAAGAGATAGGTAAACGATTGTCTTCTATCTAGAAGTATCTATTCAAACTCCAAGTGTGCTGATCTGAAAGCACAGGCGTCTGCCCCCGAATAAGTATAAGGAACTTGTATCCCAAAGTCCTATGTGTGCTCATCTCAGGCACAGAGAAACTACCTATACATGTAACAAGAAGGTAACTCAACATTTACCTCATGATGACAGTGGTTCTTATCCTGATACAGCTGCATGTCACATTCTAAATGACATAGAAACAATCCTAAAGATATCTACTAACATACAACAAAGATTGATAAGAGTCATTGGATAGTTGCAACCCAACCTAAACTTGTAATATAAGAGAGGGTTCGTTTGCCCCTATTTCGCTGACCATGAAAGAAAGCTCCTACAACATTTCTTTTAAAACTAGGAGTCTTTAGAATCAAGTAGTGGCAGATAGCCGATGGGATGAAAAAGGTACCACCAATTAGATAGACTACACTTTTGCACACTCCATATGACCCTTATTACAAATTCGCATACTCTGTAACAATTAAGGTTCGTTAGAAAGACTGACCGATGAAAGAATATAGCCAAGAAAGAATTGTCTTTGACAATCCCTGTTTCATGTGTATGAAACCTTGTATAGGACAATCGCGAGAACAACCAACTTACAGATAAGATTGATTTGCCCATGATCCAGCTACATTGTAAATGAAAAGTATACATCAATCGTCAAAGTATAACTGAAGCTGAGGCCTCTTCATACTTGAAACAAAATAAGACAGAAAACAATAGTTTGCTTCAACAAGCTTTCGAAAAAGATGGAAATTTTAATTAGAGGCACAACTTATGGTATGGGAATTAGAGGTAATTCCACCAAATCGCAAGCAAGAAAAGTTTTCCGTTTGGCTGAAATAAAGTTTAAAATCCTGGGATCTATGGCTGTTCTATTCCTAACTGCATCTCAAGAACAATGCACTCGGTGAAATCTGGTGAATTTTAAACTAGGATAGTGAGTTGATCAGAGCTCCACCGTCCTACAAGTTCTGGAAAAAAGCGTGATCATAACGTCTATAATTCACCATACTCTTGTACCTTCAGACTGTAAGTCATCCTTCTCATAGAATTTGTCCATGTAGAGAAAGTTAAGCAGATGTACTATTTCGATAAAAGCTCCAAACTCGAACTCATTCAATTATATCAGTGCTTACCAAGAATAACCATATGAGGTTATGAAACTCCATTGTTTCCTACCGAGGATTTTCGATGCCCCATTTCTGTTTAACTTTGTTATAGAAATAAGTACTGACCCCCCATTACGCTAACTTCTCACGGATTAACCTCGCAAACAACACAGTTGTGTTAGATGACAACCCCAATGAAAT